GCAGTGCGATGAGGAGCCCTTACGCTGATTACAATCTTCCCCCGAACAGAACGTAACGTTATCACGACTGTATCGGACCGGCAAGGTAGCATGTATACATTTCATGATGAGGACACGTTTTATTCCCGTGAAGACTGTAGCCATGGTCCTTCCATATGATTGGCTAATCCGGCCTCTTTGTCTGTTATGATGTATGGTCGGTATCGGGGCGTGGATGTAGGGGGACCACCTCTTTTCCCCTCTCCACCACCGCTCATGGTCGGTATCGGGGCGTGCATGTGGAGCATCTCCTCCCTTCTCCACCGTGTTTGGTCGGTATCGGGGCGTGAATGTGGGCCCCTCTCTACTGGCTGTTTGTCTTGTTAGTTGTGTGTGTAGCCTGTGCTTATCAGCACCTGTCTTTTTTTTTTTTTTTGTTGACCTGTCCTGTCGGTATCGGGTCGTGATATGACGGAAGATTCATCTATGGTTTTCCCGTTATTTTTCTCGCCCTGGCCTCACCCCCACCACCGGTATCCAACCCACTAACACAGCACAAGACCCTCTCCTTTCTCAAGAAGAGAAGACTGCAAAGTGAGAGCATCTGCGGGTATAAACGTCTCTGGAGCTTATGTCTGTATGTGGACCAAAAAATGGGGAAAAGGGGAAAAGGGCAAATAGGGAAAAGGGAGACTTACGTCTGTATCACTAGTACGAAATGAGGAAGGTGATGGTTTGGCTCGAGTGCGATCGCTGGAAGTCGGGATCGCGGTTTTGAGTAGTCTCAGCGGGAGGAGGGGGACGAAGCCAGAACGAGTCCGCACGCATGCTCTAGGAGTTTCCCGAATGAATCTGGCCGTAATTGCGGCAGGATACGTCCGGGAGAGTCCTGCCGTAGTGTGGGCGTATGGATTATTATAAGGTAAGGTAGGTAAGGTTTGCCCAAGTGTTTCAAAAACTCACGTGAATCTGGCCGTAATGGCGGCAGGATACACAGGAATTGTGAAGGCCAATCTTAGCGTGTAGATGATTCGTCTTATCTATACCTTAATTACCGATCACAGCAGCGGGATATTACCTTCTTCCCCGAACACAACGCCCAGTCATCATGAATGGATGCGAGCCGCGTTCCTGGCTAGATGCAGTCACAATGACCGGAGAACAAATATGCTGGAAAGGGAATATCTCCTTGGTGTTGTGTTCGGTGGAACAAGCCAGCGACCGAAGCTTCTGTTTTTTTTTTTCTTTTCTTTTCTAAGGGGACTATTCTATGGATGCAAGAATTGCACAGGTCATTTACATCATATAGCAGAATAAAGTTCCCTTTTTTTTTTCCCCAAACGAACCGAATTAGAGAAGGACGGTGGAAATGCTAGCATTAGCAAATAGCGTAAAAGAGAGAGAGAGAGAGAGAGAGAGAGAGAGAGAGAGAGAGAGAGAGAGAGGACGGGAATGCGTGTATCACCTTTTCAATAATTTGACAACGTCATTGCCAGGGCGATCAAGATATGTCGGCCGGAAAAAAAAGAAAAAAAAAAAGGAAAAAAAAGGAAAAAAAAGGAAGAAAAAAGGGAAAAAAAGGGAAAAAAAAGGAAAAAGAAAAGAAAAGATATTACGGTCGTCGTCAAGGGTGAGAGTTTTCCTTAAACGAATTCAAAATGCCAATGAAGTGAGTCGTCCCCTTCTCCTATGAATTTACAATCATTTGCCCTTTTAAGAACAAATGAATGAAAACTGGCAGAATTAGAATTCTCTCTCTCCCCCTGTCTCTTTTTCCTCTCCCTCTCTGCCCCCTCTCTCTCCCACTCTCTTTCCGCTCTCGCTCCCCCTTGCTGTTCCCCTCCTTGGCCTCTCCCCCCCCCCACCCTCCCCTCCCCTCCCCTACACACACACGCACACGCACGTACTTGAGAACAAGAGAGCGTGGATGCTTTGCATGGCCATCGACCTCCTCTCTTCTGATGAATCCAATGTGGGGTGTTGGGATCTTGGGAGGTTGGGAGGAACGCACGTGAGTGGTTGTAGAGGTTGAGTGTGCTGTTTTTTTTTTTTGTGCGCATATAGGACCAGGGCATCAGGCTAGAGGTATTGATCTGGAAGGGGTCGCAGTCTTCATTCTATCCATTTCCTAATATGGTGCTATGAACTCGTTCGTGGTACGATGATGAGATGAGATGAGATGAGAGGAATCATCTAAACCCTAAAGGATTGACAGAACTCCAGTCCAATTTGCCTCCTCTAGCCCAATTTGCCTCTAGCCCAATCTGATTCGTTCTGTTTACCGTCTTCACCCGAATAGAAAGCCAGGTCATTATAACTGCATTTGGCACGAGTTTCAGTCCAGATGCAGCGAGAATTGCCGGGCGTCTTACTCCGGTGAAGACGGGGTAAAGATTGGATTGTTGGGTTGAATGATTTGAATCTTACTCGTAACGGTCTGGTTTGATTGTTGGGTTTGCAGGAGAGCAGAGAGGCGGAAATGTTGCAGCTTCGTGATGAGAACAGGTCCTTGTCCATTGAGGTGTGTGTGTGGTATTTTGCTTCTTTTAACCCCTGCAGATGCAAGGCTGACTTGCGCGTTATTTTGGGATCTCTTTTTGTGTGGTGATGCACGCTGATTGTATGCTTTGTTGATTTGTTCGAACGCTCAAGGTCGATCTGAACAATTGACTGACGAACCTTGTGCTCTTCCACTGGCAATGGTTATTGATCAGATCAACCATCAATCAAATCGTCAAAGTCGGTCCACAATCGATGATCAATCAATGATCGAATGATTGATGATCGATGGAATGATTGATGATCGATGGAATGATTGATGATCAATGGATCATCAATGAAATGATCACTCAAATCATCAATTATATAATCAGTCAAATCATCAATCAATCATCCATAAAGTCATGGAAGATCATCAATCAAATGATAAATAGGTCGTCAATCAAATGATCAATCACAGAATCAGTCATTGTCAATCAATCATCCATCAAATCATGGAATCATGAAATCATAACATCATCAATCGGTCATCAATCAATTATCAATGAATCATCAATTGATCATCAATCATCTCATCAGTCAAATAATCAATCAATCAATCAATCGATTGATTAATCAATCAATCAATCAATCAATCATCCGTCAAATCATCAAATCCAGTAATCAATCCAATCAAATCATCAATCAATCATATCCATCAAATCATCAAATCCTATCGTAAATCCAAATATCAATCCAATCATCAAAATCAGTAGTCCATCAAATTATCAATCAATCATCAATCATCAGCAATTGAGTAATCAATCAATTATCAAATCGGTCATCAATCAATCAACAATCAAATCTTAATCAATCAATCATCAATCAATCATTGATCAAAGGTTAATCACTCATCAATCAAACATCAATCACAATCGAACATCAACCAAACATCAACCAAGTCAAATCAGGCCATGATAGTAAATTTGATCAATCAATAAGAAGTTGACCACAATCAATGAATCAATCCTTACTCCAAGGATGCTGTGAGATGAATCGCAAATTAGAAGCACATTATGTTCTCGGGAATGAGCATTGATGCAGTGACACTCCAATGAGCAGGCCCAACAAAGCAATGATTGCACATGCTCAAAATTTTGGCAATACAATATTAAAACTCTTTCCATGAGGAAAAACGATCAGTTCTCCACCATCAACACAATGAACGTCATTGACATCATGAACAGCACTCGACGACACTAAACAGCACTCGACGACACTAAACAGCACTCAACAACACTCGATAACATCAATAACATCAATAACGATCTTGGTGAAGCTCGCGTACAGTGCCGGGTTCTTTTCCGCCATTGACGAGTCAATGTGATGGATTGATACGGTTATCCTATGGCTACCGTGTTAGGTAGGCTGCTCCACTCATTTCCCCCTTGTTGGCAATGTGCTTAGCACAATGCTGCTCCCACTGATTTGCATTTCAACCACAAGTACATTCCCCAGCTATCGTGTTCTGACACAGCAGGGAAACATGCTGCGCAAAATTGTGGATTGGTCCATGGTGTGGAAAAGGATGGTGGCTCCCGGCAATTTCATGCCTGGGCCGGCGCATTATCTGTTTGGGTGCACAACAGAAATCTGCTCCCCTACTTCTACTTCTACTCTGTCTACGTTGACCGCCGGGTCTACATCGGGTCCAGTGGACCATAGTCCTCCTATCCGTGACACTCGCCTAGTTGTCCACTGCGGCATTAATGCGACCGAGTGCCCTGGTTATTAAAGCAGATTCCTTTGCCTCCTCCACCCCTCCTCCATCTACTGTTTACCTTCCCTCCCCTGATTCCCATTCTCTTGCAGGTTTTTTCAGTAGCCATTTTCAGATAACCAGTCCCTTGGTGGTGGAGTGAACCGCGGCCAACTGGTTCCCTCGTGCCCATGTCCTCAGGAACCAGTTCAGATGTCGTCTGTTGCTTCGCCCACAGTTTGCCTTCCTCGGCCAATCCTCCATTTGATCTCCCCATCTGACATCGGTCTGCTCTGACACCTCTCTCTGTTGCGGTCTGCCCAGATCACTTCGCAGAGTATCCTGCTAACCACACACATGTGCCACGTATCCCCATCCAATCTTTGTTTGTGTATTCACGGGTAGGATTCCCAGCACCCATTTCTCCTCCCTGTCCACTCCTGCCCCCCCCATTTTTCTCCAGTGTTATTCCCATCACTTCCAGATTTGTTTGGGAGCGGGCCACTCCCACCACCAGCGGTGTCGGGTGGATTCGAATGGCCAATTGCCGCGCCTACAGCGGAGGTCGACTGCCATTCCTCTACTCAGCAACCAGACTGCAGGAGGAGTAACCAGCAAAGATAGGAGCCAGAGTATGATTGCCTGTTTCGCATTCGACATCGAACTCGGTGCTTTCCATAGCTTGTTGTTGAACTGTTCCTCCGGATCTTGCAACTCCTCCCCCAGCAGAGTCTGCCATCTAGTTGTGGCTATTGCTGCTGGCGTTTTTTTCGTTCCTTCGGGCAAGTTTGTGGCCAGTTCTCACCGAGTATTCGAACATTGTCAAGTTAGTCAGACCACCTGCTGCTCTGCTCCAGGACCAAGTTAGCGGATCTATGTTTAATTCTCTCAGTGGGGCTCTGCCCACCCACGTGAGAGTTCTTGTTCTCCGCCTCTTCCCTGGCGATTCTGCCACTCGGATATGGCGTGGGTTACTCCACAGTATGATTGTTTCTTCCCCCGCTTTCTCCAAGGTGTTCGTATGTTCTGCTGCTTTCCACCGCTCTCCCCGTCTGAAGCCACTGGGGTCGATTCCTTTCACCTTCCATACTACAGCTGGGTCATCCTCCTGTGGCACCATGTACCATGTGCCTGGTGGGTCCACTCCCTCTGGGCCCAGCAGCTGTACCCAGTCCTCCGGAATGACCTGGAGCAGTGTTCTCCAATTTTCTTCCACTCTGTGCAATGCGCACAGTTTGCCTTTCACATCAGCTAGGGGCTTCCATCCGCCTAGAAGCGGTGACCAAAGATCCCTGATTCTTGTTACTCCCCTGCGGACCCAGGAAAGCATGTTTTACACAAGGGCAGTGGAGATAAATGATAAGAAAAGAGGGCCAGCCTAGCCCTTGCGGCACTAGACGCCTAAACAATGGGGGACTGCTACAGAGCGCCCATCCCCCAACCTTGATCCCTCCTCGGAGGCTGTTCTACTGGTCGGGAGGCTTACTACCGGTAGCAGCACCCAGCCACCCAGTAGAGCAGCTGCCAGGGGGGGCATGGCACCGGAGAGGAGTGTTCTAAGCAGCCCTTCAGGCCGCATGCCAGTCCATCGGTATTTCTTAACATGCCTAAGTCGTCTCCTCCTGGTATCTACTTCCATGTGCATTTCCTTTCCTTCCACGCTCCTTTCTCACTCTCACCACCTCCTGGTCACAACACTCTGGTGCTACCTTCCCCTTGCTAGTGTGTGTGTGTGTGTGTGTGTGTGTGTGTGTGTGTGTGTTTTGACACTCTGGTGCTACTTTCCCTTTGCTAGTGTTATTTATTTATTTATTTATTTTTAATTTAACTTGCCCTTATGGTCCTGGCTCTGGACTTCATTTTTCACTTGTTTTCCAAGTTCAGTGCCAAAATTGGCACTTTCAGTACCCTCTTCGCTCAAGAACCTTCCCCTCCGTATAAGATTTGGAGATGTCTTTCTTCTTCGTTGACAGAACGCATACTCTCGTGCACATATACTGATCCAATAGCTCTTCTTGCATATCGTCCTATAGTTACTGCAAGCTTCTCTTTGTGCTATTCCTAACAGCACCACGGTTGAACATCGGCCAGATTGAAATCCATTGGCTTCCCCAACCTCTGGAGGCTGGTGTTCGGGACAGTCCGGACTGGTCTGGAGAGGCTGGGGTCAGGTAGATCATGGACTGCCTGCCACTGGTGTCACCCCGACTAGATAGCTGAGAGGGCTTGGACTGCTCCAGTCGTAGACTGGTCTGTCCCGACAGTCCGGACTGGTCTGGAGAGGCTGGGGTCAGGTAGATCATGGACTGCCTGCCACTGGTGTCACCCTGACTAGATAGCTGAGAGGGCTTGGACTGCTCCACTCGTAGACTGATCTGTCCCGGCCTCTGACATGGCATTCTGGCGCTGGCCTCCTTCCTTGAGCCACCTACTTCAGCGTCTACAAGCCCGGGGTGAACCTGGAAGCCTTATGTCCAACCGTGAAGTATCTACTTCGGGTGGTGGCCTCTTAACATGGAATCCTACCGTGAAAAAAACAAGCCAAGTTTGCTTGTCAAGGACGTACTTATGGTTCATTCTATGTCGACCCCAGGTAGCGTGTCTACCATTTTTCGATCCTTGCACGGGGGCCATGCTAATCTTCTCTGTATTGTTCCAATTTTATCGGATGTCCCAAAGGAGATTGTCTCGCTATTTCTTGCTTTCAAGTTTGATTGTCGGGGACGTACTTATCCTTGATTCTGTGTCGACTCCAGGTAGGGAGGGTGTCTCCGAAAGACCTGTGTGCACGGAGTTGTTGAAATATCTGGAAATCCATACGGTGAAAGATTGCGGAGCATCCTGAAAACTATTTGCCAGAAGGAAGAAAAGTGTCAAACCACCACTACCTCCGATCCGTTTTTTACCGACCCTGAATTTCACTGCGCACCAAGTTTTGCTGAGCCAGGGTCCCAGTGTATTGTCTTTTCTGGTACTCACGGCAGTTACATCCGAACAAGAGGGAAAAAAAAGAAAGAAACTTCCGCCGTCATAGCCATCAGATGCATTCAATGGTGTGCTGGTGAGACTGCGCCGTCGGTGAGGGCGTCTGTCTGATGACCAAGAAAAGGCGAACAAAAAAAAAATTAAAATCCTCTCTGCTATGGTCTCGGTCCGATACAGGACAGGTACAGCACCAATTCGAGTATGAGGTGAGTGAGGCGTGTGGAATCCGCCCTGCCTCTCTGGCAGGGCACCAAAAGATGGTGAAGAAAAAGAAAAAAAAAAAGAAAAAGCAAGAGCAA